AAGCTTTTCCACTCATTGTACAAAATTGGAGCACAACTTTTCATTCCTCTGGTTGTACACGATATAGAGTCGCACCATATGTGCAGTAATACATGTACTTAGGGTAATGTTGTTCCTCTCGTTCCACCAACTTTCCTACTGCCATACCTCCTCCTTCTCAGTTCCAAGATTATTCTTTAAAATATGAGCCGGCAAGGTGGTGCACACCTGTAATTCCAACTACTTCAGAGGTAGAGGCAGGAAGATTGGAAGTTCCATATCAACCTCAGCAATTTAGCAAGGCCCTAAGAAACTTAGCCAGACCCTGTCTGAAAACAAAACAAAACAAAACAAAACAAACAAACAAACAAACAAACAAAGTGCTAGGAATGTAGCTCAAATAACCCCTGGGTTCAATTTTCAGTACCAAATAAATAAATAAAACATGTCTCTGTATAAAATGTTCATGATTTTATTTTTTAATTCTTTCATTTGACAAATCTGTAATTATTTTGTTTTTCAAAGGACAGAATGTCCTTTAAAAATTTGGGGATGTAGCTCATCCCAAATTACTGGGATGCAGCTCACTGGTAGAGTCTCAGCTACTGGGAAGACTGAGGCAGGAGGATCCTTTGAGCCCAGGAGTTCAAGCCCAACCTGGGCAACATAGTGAGACCCCCATCTCAAAAAAGAAAAAAAGAAAAGCTGTTTATTTTAAAGAACAACTTTGAAACTGGGAGCATCTTTTCAGGCAAGACACAAAATTTAGGATCCCAAAAGGAAAATGTTAATAATTAGACTGCATTGTCACAAAAATATTTGTATAAAACATTTTTAAAGTGGATAGATTCAAGTTTCAAATCATATAACAAAGGATCGATTTTCATGCTGTACAAAGAACTTCTAAAAATTATTACGGACAATTGAACAGGAAAGAAACATAGTTCACAAGAAAACAAATGCATGTAACCAACAAATATATAAAAAGCAGTTTGCACTCATAGATGATAGAAAAATACAAATTAAAATGAGACTTTTTATAAAACCCATTAGAATATTATATATTTAAATATTTAACAGTACTGAGTATTGACAAGAATATAGGAGAACAGATACTTTCATGCCATGTTGAGAGGAATATAAATCAATATTGGATTTGGGAGATTTGATTTATAATAACTATCTAAACTTAAATTGTGCCTATCCCTTGATCCTGCAATTCCATTGTTATAAATTTATCCTACTTATTCATGCAAATGGGCAAATATATATGTACACATACACACACACACACACCCCTACACATACATATCTATGTACATATACATAGATATGTATACATAATTTTCCAGGTTTTTAATGTACAGGTTTTTGTGTAGACATAATTTTCATTTTTATTTTTAGGATTAATTCTTTTTTGTCAACTTCTTCTTTCTCCCTTCCTCCCTCCCCTGATCCCTTTCCATACTTTATTGGTCTTCCTTCTATTTTTGTATTTATTTTTGAATTGGTACCTTATAGTTATATATAAAATTGGAATGCATTGTGATATATTCATACATGTACATAGCATAATTTGGTTAATTTATTATTAGTGTCACACATTTTCTGGGTTTTTATAATTATTTCCACACAGAGGAGTATGACTGCTATTTAATTTTTTAAGAAACTGTTGAATTATTTTTCAGAGTGGGTATATCATTTTTCATTTCCATTTTTTGTGAGTGATCCATTTTTATGCACTCTTAACCAAATGTAGTATTCTCATTATTTCTAATTTTAAATATATTTTATATTAYCTATTTTACCCACACTTTTTCTTTTAATCACCTAAAATCCAACACATAGATTAATTAAGTTTCATTCTTAGTGTTTCATATTCTCACTAGTCCACAGGGTGGACTCACTCTGCCATTTTTACAGTTGTATAATAACACAAATCTACCACTATGATATTTCTCACTATTTTTTATTTTAGCCATTCTACCAGCTATGTAGTGATATCTCACTGTGGCTTTAAATTATATTTTCCTCAAATGATTAATTATGTTGAATAACTTTTTATGTACTTATTTGGCACTTGTTTTCTCTCTCTCTCTCTCTTTTTTTTTTTTTTTTTGCAGTGTCAGAGCCTCACATGTTTATTAGGCAAGTGCTCTACCACTGAGCAACATACTCAGTTCAAGGAAAAAGAATTTTTCTTTCAAGCCATTTGTAGGGATTTGGAGGATGGAATGGAATCCAAGATGTCAACCTAGATCTGTGTGACTACAAAATCTACATGCTTTCTAATAGCTCAGGGATGCTGCAGGAATGCTGCAGGGTGGACTCACTCTGCCATGTGCTCCAAATTTAGTATAATTTTTCAAAATAAGGTTATTACGCTTACTTATTTCAGTTAAGATTATTCTTTAAAAATTATGATTAAGCAAAAATATATAGCTAGTTATATATGGCAAATATATAGTTAAGTTTACCTTTACCATAGTTAAAGGAAACTGAGTCATCTTGCCTGTTATTCAGTATCCCAATTCACATGCTGACTTGAACAATACAAGGACCCCTGGAGAAAATGGTTACATTTATGTGGTTACTTCATTCTAGATAGCAACATTTCTGTCTTGGGAAAAGAACTAGCCTCAAGGCATTTCTGATTGAATGTTTTCCAGTTATAGTCTTTAAACCAGCATGCCCCAGAATTGCTCTTTCCACATGATGGCCTTTGTGGTAGATGGCAGATTTCCCTGAGGCCTCACAAAATAACAGGCTTTCACAATGCCACCGGCTGACAGCCAGACCCAGCACAATCTTGTGTGATTGTGGGGCTAAAGTCATTCCACCTTTGTGCAATAAAGACTGCTGAAACCAGCTGCATTCCCATAAGGGTAGAGGAAAATGCCCCCCCCACCGCTTTTTTGCCATTCCAAAGCTACCCTGAAGCACATACATGAATCTTGCTTTCTCAGACCATCAGGAGGGGGAAAGGACATGAGCTATTAGAAAGCATGTGCATTTTGTAGTCACACAGATCTAGGTTGACATCTTGGATCTGTGCCTTGAACAAGTTACTCTGGTTGAACTCTGGGTTCTTTATTTGTGAAGTGGGAGAAAAATCACAGTTATCTCCAAGAGAGTATTGAGYATGAGCACTTGCTTATTCATTGATTAGACATTCATTGTTATTTACCTTGTACTAGGTCCTGTTTTAGGGGTTGAAAGATACAGCCTTGGATAGTCAAACCCCTGTTCTCATGAAATTTACRTTCCTAGAAACAGTAACACAGACCAAACATAAATAAGAAAATTTAAAAATAAATTAAATAAATAAAAATAAACCAGTAATGTAACTGAGAGTTTCTACCATTTCTTTGTTTTCTCCTTAGTAAAACTTACCTGCTAAAGTACATAGAACCTCATTTTTGCAGGCACCCTACGTAAGCCAGTAGCCCTTGGAGAGGACCTCAAGTTTCCAATTTCTGGGTCCTAATGTGATGTTTCTAGAAATATTTGCATATTAGCAGCAGCCCAAGGCTTTAGGTCAGAATTTTACTGGTGGACTTGACTTTTCTGGGGGACTCAGGGTCTGTGTTGTCAGTAGGGAGTGGTGGTTAGGGGGCAGGTGACATGCCCAGCCTGTACCTGAGAACATTTTGTTTCTGAATGTCCTGTTAAAGTTGTGGCTGGCATCCAGAGCCTCTGCTCGGGTCATGATCAATTCATTAGGATTTGTGGATTGCAAGAATTAACTCTGATCCYGCCCTTCAAAAATAAAACATGAATTGTCAAGAGAGACCAGGGTGTTGAATGTTGTCACTCCAACCTGAGCCTTATAGGAATACCTAAGTGGGGGGGCAGTTTCCAGTCCTGCAGGCTGGTTCCAGTCCAGGGCTGTGTTCCCCAATAGACAGATTAATGTACTGCTCAATGTACTGGAAAATCAGGGCCCAAACACACACATAAAGTTTATTTGTGAAACTTTATTTTGAGATTTAGAACCAGAAAATCCTGAAATATGGTGTTCTAATACCAACTTTTATAGATGTTTTCTGTCATATTATATTTGATTTTCATGTAGGCCATAAACTTTGAGAATTCAGGACCTCTAAATGTTTTGAACTTGCCAAGCCCTACACCACCTGGGAACTTTCCTTCATCTCAGCTCTTAGAATTAATACACAAAGTCTTTCCTAAATTCAGGGTCCAGRTCAGAGAGTAGAGGGTGCATTCTGTTTCTTACCCTCATGCCGAGCACCATCTGGCTGTTCTTCCTGCTTAAATCTTGATGTCTGAGCCACACAATCTCATATTTAATCGTGCCCAATAAGCAGGAGTGTGATATAATAATTAATATCCTTGATTTATTAGGAAAAGTCTGTGGGAGAAGGAGGTCTCTTGGACAACTGAGCAATTTATTTTACTTGAGGAAGTTTCCTCTCAGATACAGAAATGTCCTGTTTTCCTGTTGTGGTCTTTACCCCTGTCCTGCTTTCTGTTGCTGTGGTAGAAGGCACAAATAAGGGTCAATGTGTGGGAACAGGAGTGTTTTGACTCAAGATCCACTTGGCTTCCTGAGTCTGCTGGGTTGCACCAGGTTCCCTAGGGTGAAGACCCAAGATGATTGCCAGGGACAAGGTGCCCATTCATTGGTCTTTGGCCCTTCCTTGGCTGGCCAATGAGAAAGGACATTTGTGAGGTGGGGACTGTCTGTCCCCATGAGTACCAGGCTCTTGAGAGAAGGCCTTCTCCTTCTCACATCCGTCCATATTGACTAAGTTGGTGGGTCTGACTCCATACCAGAGGGTAAGAGCAATTCTATTAAGTTCCAGGCTTGGGGGGCGGGAGATGACTGCCCAGCCTTAGCTGGGATGTGCCCAGKTTTTTTCCTGTCTGTCATAGTATAGAATTTGTTATGGGCAAAACCCAGGGGAAGGCAGAACTGGTCGAAGCAGACAAGCCTCAGAATTTTTTCTCAATTCTCCAGAACTCCAAGAGAGAAAGAATTGTTCCTTCTGGCCAAAAAGCCTAGTGCCATCTTGAATTTTCCTAATTCACTTGTGGGAGGATGCCTACTGAGAAAAAGGTTAAGGTCAGTGAATGGGAGGGCTTGTCCACAGATGGAGTCAGATTTGATAAAGGACAAGGGATTAAATCACTTCTCAGCCTGACCAGGTACAGCAAAGGAATCAGCATGTGCAGAAGCAGCTTGGGAAAAATTAAGTAGAGGTTTGACCTCAGACTTGAGTTTAAAATTGGCTCTGCCACTTGATTCAGTTCAACAAAGATGGTTGGGTATGTGCTCTGGCCACACACTGGGTGGTTCATGAGATAAAAGATGAGTGTGRTGTGGCCATTGTCTGTAGATTTGGGGATATCATAGCTATGGGGATATCTTGCCAGGCAATTGAGGGTTTCAAGTGAGGTAAAGAGAAAATAGTCTGGGAAAGTTATAAGAAATCTCATTTTTGAAAGGTACTTTCTGAGAGGAGCGCCTGGATCTGCCTGATCTTTGCCAAGCCCAATCCTATTTGTCCCAGAGAGTGCTGCCTCTGAAGCTTCCTGGTGGTTTTCACCTGTAGAAGCGGTGGTCAGAGTGGGGTGGGCAGGGGTAGGGGATTAGAAGTCAGAGCAGCCCCTCATGGATTAGAGGACACAGGTCGCCGATATGGAGATGTTCTGGCTTTTTAATCAAGCCTCATGCTTGATTCTGATTCTTTTTTTAAATTTTTTTTTTTTTGAGAGAGAGAGAGAGAGAGAGAGAGAGAGAGAGAGAGAGAGAGAGAGAGAGAATTTACTTTTTAGTTTTCGGCAGACACAACATCTTTGTTTGTTTGTGGTGCTGAGGATCGAGTGCGCTACCGCTTGAGCCACATCCCCAGCCCTTGATTCTGATTCTTGATTTACTCCTCTGGACTGTTAGGAGTAAGGCTTGTTCTGTCTTGACTGGTTGGGGTCAGAATATCCTAGCAGAATATGGCCAAAGGAACACAGTGGTGCCAGCTTGGCTAATGGAGCTGAGCAGTAGAAAGAAATCAAACCCTGCAGCTTCATCAGTGGCCCTCTGTTGTCACCCTTCCTTACATCTTGAGAAGTCTCAAGGAGAGACACCAGTCTTGCTTCTTGTCCTTTTTAAGGTGGTTGCAGGGACAAACTCTCTACTATCTGCTCACCAAGTCAGAGGATCAGTACTCCAGGTACTTGGCTGAGGTCAGGAGTGATGTGTTTTAGAGATCAGGAGTATTCAATTGGGAAAACTTCTTGGGGAGGGAGACTCATCCTAAAAATGCAGTGGAAGGATGTTTTGCTTTACCAGTTGCTTGAAGGTATGAGTGAATGTGCGTATGCACGTGTGTTTGTGTATGGGTGTGGCAAGCCTAGGAATACTGACATCTGTTTCAGGCTGAGTGAAAACTTTCAGACAATTCTAGGAGCCAGACAGAGTTGAGTAGATTTATGATTCTACCATTTATCATTAGGCTTTATCATGCAAAATTGCCAATATTTTACTATTTCAAACTTTAAGAGTAGCAATTTCAAGCCACTTAACCAATTGTTGTGTGATATGAAGCCAGCATTTCAACCTCTTTGAGTCTGAGGGTCTCTTATAAAGTAGAGTACAAAGCGGGAGTATGGGAGGATGAAATAAAGTCAGATGATATGCCAAAGTGTTCACCAATTTCAAAGTGTTCTTGTGTACCTTAGCAGATTGGGAAACAGAGTCTGAAGGTCAGTGGTGGATGGTTTACCGGTTTGGAAGTTGTAACAGAGATTTCTCTGAGATCATTTCTTTTATCTCTATTTCTTTATCTCTAAAGTGTGGGTCAGTTTTCTTCCTTCAGGGAGCTCTTGTTAAGGTGAAAATAAATGATGTGACTCCTCACATGGTATCTGGCTTCTGTGAGGATCTAATAAATACTTCCCTCTTCCTTTCCTGCAGTCTTACCCTTTGAAAAACCGGGACAGTGAATAGATGATTTCTGAGGTCACTTTGGCTCTGGATGTGAAGATTTTGTGCACTGTTCTGACTTTTCCTGCTGGAGCAGTTGGCACCAGTTTGGCAACCTCTTCCCCCATAGAGCTCTGTCTCTTGCTAGTCCCAAAGGGGATCCTGTCCTTGTATTTCACAAGATTATGCTATTGCTATTGAAATTCCAGCAGGTCAAAGTGGAATTTCTCTTATATTTTCAACAGGAAAATGAGAGATCATACTCTGGCCCCTTAAGATCCCAAGCACATCATGATCATCTCCTTATGAATTTAAAAGGGGAATGAACTCATGCCTGTGTACAGTTTGCCAGGAAGATCAGGCCAGTGTGGTGATTTTGGTTTCAAATTGTACTTTTGCTCTCATTTGCTTGTTATCCTTGGATAGAAATTACTGAATCTCTCTAATTGTTGGATTTCTCTTGTGACAACCGAGTTCTATCTCCTAGCATTATGGGTAAAATGAGAAAAGAGTAGAGGAAATGGACAGGGGAGAGGAAGGAGGGAAAGGCGAAATACTGGGGAATGATATTGGCCAAATTATATTGCTATACTATGTGAATGAACATACATGTAATAACAAAACCCAACATATGTACAATTCTAATGCACCAGTAAAAGAAAATGATGGGGAGAAGGGAAATGGATATGTAAAAGTAGTCCAAAAATATTTGTTTGCTTCTCTTCTCTCACTTACTGTAGAGCACTTTATATGTTCATAAAATACTTTTTCATGCTTTCTACCAACTGGTTTTCATAACAATATTGTGAAATAGGCTAGGTAAGAATTAATACCCCACATTTATAGACAAAGCGCATGAAGTCTGAAAGGTGGGTAGAAGAAGTAAGACACCCAGAGAGTGAGGAGGAGCCTGGGGGAGAAGCCAGGTCTCCTGCTTCATAATTTGCAGGCCAGGTCTTTCCACACTATCCTCTGTCATCCCCACTCCATGGGGAAGAATACTAAAGGGAAGGTATGTGAGTGCAATGCTTTCCCTCCTGGGCTACGTTGAAGAACTGTCTGTTATTGGGATCCAGAGGACCTGAGTTTGACTTTCAGATCCTCTGTGTTTAATTCTGGGATCTTGGGCAAGTCACTTAACCTCTCGTTTTCCTCACTCCAAAATGGACTCAGTCATAACTGACATTTATTGAGCACTGACATGTACCAAACCAACGTTCTAGGTCATTAAATCCTCCAACAAACTTGAAAGATTATAACACATTAAGGGTAAGAACAAATACTTGTCACCTAGGTACTAAGATTGTAGAGTCTGTGCTTCTTATTCTACCCCATACTGTCTCTCAAGATGGTTGTGAGAATTAAGAGAGACATTACATGAGGTAGGGACTTTACAGGTAATATTTTCCACAGGCAAAGGATTATAAGCAGTCCTAGGATTTAGCTTTATGACCCATGTAAGTTTTTCTTTATAGGTATGATTAAGTCTTAGATTAATCCTTAGTTTCATTTAATAATGTTTTCCCCATAGAAACAGACGTTTTTGGAAATCAAAGCATAACAATTCTTTATCTAAACAAAGAATACAAATAGTTTTGTAATTTTTTTTGAAAATGAGGCATCTTTACATTGACTTTCAGTAGTTATCAACTGCTCATTTTTCATCTAGAATTGGGTTGGAATGCAGCCTTCTTCAATCAGACTCTTCTCTCAGCATCAGAAACGTCCTGATGTCCTCATTCCTTTCTTTTCCCTTTTCTGCACCTCTACCTTATGCCACCCTCAGAGGACCCAGACTGATTACATCTGTAACTGGAGAAAGCTGTCCATAACACTGAAGTGTTGGAGACAGATCGTGTTCCCTTGGGTTAGGAGAACAGGATCTCAATTTTTCAGAGAAGGGGCGGAGTCAGAGAATTGTCTTTGCATTTCCTCCAAGCACTTGGGGTAGACCACCAACCCACCTTTTATCTTTAGGTGCCACAACTAGTTTGCACATTCTGGACTCTCTCCTCCTGTCTCCCTACGGAAAATAACAGAGCCGCACAGATATTTCTTTCCTCATTTCTGCGGAACACAAGCATAAAGCCAAAGTTCTGAGTTTTATTGGTCAAGTTGTAAGAAGAGAGGGCAGGCATGCCAAATAGTGGGAAAGCTTAAAGACACATGAAATCTTAAGTTCAGAACAAGCACCTCCTGAAACATACAGGGGGCTTTGCTGGTCTCTTCTTGGCTTCTCCTCTAATTCACTTCTTTCTTCTAACCTTGGGACATACCAACCTTGAGCTACCTCTCATTTTGTTTCGGGCACTTTCCCAAGTCCTCCAAATTCAGTAGAGGGCGATCAAGGCACACACAGATGAGAAAAGGAGTATTGAAGGAGACTTATGACCCCTAAGGAGCGGCAAGGGTCTCTGTGGTTCTTGTTTGTCACTGTCCCTCTCCTTCTCCTATCTGTCTGCCAGTCTCATTCTCAATTCTGACTTTACTTATAAAATTATAATAGAACCTGATATTTGATAAATAATGCATCAGATCAAAAGAGAGGGAAATGTTAATTTAGTTAAAGGAGCTTAAATAGTTGGTCTTCAAATGGGCGAAAAAATCATTGRATATCTGGGATCACAGCTTACATCAAGACAAAACCAGAGATGAAGTAGAGAAGGAAACTTTCAATATATCAAATGATAGGAAAAATAGAAGAAAATCAAATATTTACCCAATCCCAACTTTGATAAGGGCTATTTAACACCTGGAAACAAAGAAAACTATAGAATTGTCTATGTAAAAACTGAACCTTCTGTATAAATAGAAATTAGGGTAAACAGAAGGATAATCTAACACCGGAGAAAACAGTCCCAGCATGTATGGCAAAGTGTTGATACAAAGAGCTCACACATGTTGATTCTGTAAACATTATATTCATGATAAATTGAGTAACAAAGCTATCTGAAAAAGGAAATTAAATTAGGAAATAGACCAGGCATTGTGGCGTATGCCGGTAAATCCCAGCAGATCTGGAGGTTGGGAGTAGGCAGGAGGATCACAGGTTCAAGCCAGCTTCAACAACTTAGTGAGGCACTAAGCAACTTAGAGAGATTCTGTCTCAAAATAAAAAATAAAGAGGACTGGGGCTGTTGCTCCATGTTTAAGCGCCCCTGGGTTCAATCTCCGGTACCAAAAAAAAAAAAAAAAATTAGGAAATAGGATTTTAATAAAATGTACAACTCATTAATGACTCAAGGATACAAAATATAGCAGTGAGATACCATTTCTTTTGCTCACTAAACTAACAACAAGAAAAAAGTGTTTTTCGTGATAATATTCAAAGCTGGTCCTTTTATATACATGCTGACATGCTACTGGATAGCAGAGTGACATCCTCAAGTATGGGAATGTATATCAAGATACTTGAAAAAATGTTCATCATTCTTGGTCCAGTAACTTCTAGAAATATGTTATATTGGGATAATAATTGGAGGAAAAGTCATATACCTATGGGTGTTTAAAAATATAATTTTAAAATGATATGTAATATTATTTGTTACAGAATATAAAATGACATTTTAAATGAATTTAAACAGAAAGTTCCCCAAAATAGAATGACCAAGTATATTTTTGTCAAGTCAAATCCATTGATGGATTAGCATTCAGAAAGGGTGGTTATAAAAACTATAAAATGATAAAACAAATATAGAAGAGTAAATTTCTGTGTAAAGTATAACTTCTACTATTTAAAAATAAACAGGGAGGGGCTAGGGATATAGCTCAGTTGGTAGAATATTTGCCTTGCATGCACAGGGCCTTGGGTTCAATCCCCAGCACCGTGCGCGCGCGCGCACACACACACACACACACACACACACAAATAAAATAAAATAAAATAATAAAAATAAACAGAAATTCTTGGTATTAGAAATTATTTTCTTTTCTGCAATTTCTAAAAAGCTTATGCAACACATATACACATGCATATATGTGTACTCACAATATAAATATATATATAAGCACACATACATACATATATGATACAGATGAAAAATGAGTTGGTTGTGCCACATGAAGAGGGCAGCATAGTGCCCCAGGTAAAAGGGTGTAGAAGTGGTATTCCAGATACCATGCAAATCTGATGTAAGATTGCCAATCAGGGTCTTTCCTACATTTTTCACAGAGAAGCAATTTATTCTAAAAACAAATCTTATTCTGAAGCTTCATGTAGTATAGGAGAGCCCAGCAAACTCATGAAAAACAGTGAGTCTTTGGAGTAAAACAAGGACATGGAGTACATTTCATTTAGAATCAGGTCTTTGTAACTCACCACCTTATCTCACAGAGGATTTTAGTGACACTTCTGATCCAGGATCCTAGAACCTATTTCCTACCCAGCCATTCTTTCTTTTAACTTCTTGTTTAGAGAAAAATGGAGAGACAAAGACCCCGGCCACCAGATGTGGCATCTAAGATCATCCAATGATGATCTCCCAGACTCTAGGAGGGGTCCAAAGTCCATAAGGGGCCTGAATAGGGCCCTCTTCTGGGAGAGGGCTATGGAGGGTTGATTCTGGGACCCAAAGGCCCTTGGACACCTATCCCACTTGAGCTCTCTGCTAGGGCTCCCAGAGTACACATTTTAATACACTCCACCGTCCCTCCTTCCTTTTCTCTTTTTTCTTTTTCTCTTTCTTTCTCTTCCCCTCTCTAATTCTCTCTTTTTCTTTCTTTTGTTATAAAAATATTTATTTGGTTTCTGCTCTGTGTTTGCAAAATATTAGACTTGCCCGATGGTGTCTGTTTAATGGAAAAACAGGTGAGCAAAWTAGGAATTATAGTAGAGTGCAAAAAGGGTAATAATAGAGGTAAGACAGGAAACTGGGGGAACAGAGGAGGAACAACCAACCCAGATGGGAGAGGGAGGACAGGAGGACTTCCTGAAGGAAGTGACATACAAACTGTGTCCTGAAGGCTGAGTAGGGTTTGGGAAGTGAGGAGGGATAGGTATGTGGCCCAGGCAAAGGATCAGTGGATGTCCTCATAGGACAACACATCTCTGGTTGTCTGATTAGTTCAAGGTGAGGCTCTGTGTATACATGTACCAAATGGCCAAACATATGACCCAGGAGAGGGGAAGAGGAAGAAAGAGAAGTGTGGGGAGAAAGAAGAAGGAATAGTCACAGAAAATGAGAGAAAAGGAAGGAGAAAAGAAGAAGAAGAAGAAGGGAGACAAGGAGAGAGAAGTTGGTTGAGTGGAGTGGACAGATCTGAGTCATCATTCTTGGAAAACTCAAGAGTGGTGATTGGCCAGCTGCCTCTTGGAGCATTCCCTGTACCTGGTCCTGTGCTCAGATATGGGGAATTTGAAGAGAGTCATCCCTGCCATCATGAACTCACACTCCTGCTGAGGAAAGGAAACTTCGTACAGGGAATAATGCTAAGCATTGCAAATTTGGGGATAGAAAGAGATCAAGGTAGGTTCAAATAGTCAAGAAAATCTTGACAGTTCTTGGAGTGGACCCTGCTGAGATGGTTTAAGTGCTACACATTCCCGACTGGGGGTGCTATCGTGGGGACTGCCTCTCCCACGGCTGACAGTGTCCATGTTGATTTCAGGACTCAGGATGCTGTTGCTGCAAGCCCTTCTACTGCTATTAGGCCTGCTTAGTCATGCCCAAGATGTTACTACTGAAGGGCCAGGAGCCCTGCTTCCCATGCCCAAGGGGGCCTGTGCAGGTTGGATGGCAGGCATCCCAGGGCATCCTGGTCATAATGGAACCCCAGGCCGTGATGGAAGAGATGGCACCCCTGGTGAGAAGGGTGAGAAGGGAGATGCAGGTAAGAACAAGGTTTTTTGTTTCCTCCATCAATCCTGGGTAGAGGAGGGCCTCCAGGGCTACATGAGAGCACTGGTAATTACTTAAGGCCTAGACACAGGAAAGATGCAGCACTTTTTTCTTATGTGACCATTAAGCAGCCTGGAATGGATTTTGAGTTGGACGTCCAGGGGAGAGACAAAGTGGTACCTTTAAATCCAAATTTCCTTGACTCCGTTCCACTTGCATCTCCTTCCTTGTCCCTTTTCCCATCCTCACCCTCACTCTTATTCCCAAAATGTTCACTTTTCCTATTCTTTTCTCATTCATTCCTGTTTCTTCCAGCAGCATTCTTCCAGCAGTATTCAACTGCATACTCTCCAATGTTCTCCACAAGTTTCGGAGAACTCTTGGTTTTGTTAAGAGGATAACTCTAACGTAGAAGACTCTGTTAYGGGTTACTACAAGAAAGCCAAACTGAATGTAAACAAGTGTCCAAAGTGTGGAACACAGAGAAAAYATGCTCAATGAAGATCTGGATTAATATGAAATTTCTTTGAGAAGGCAGGATTTGAGTCAGACCTTGAAAGATGTGTAGGCGGAATAGAGGATAGAGGGCATCATGGACAGAGCAGATAGAGGGCAAAACTGTAATTGGTTGAGCCAGTATACTAAGGGTTAAAAGGTAGAGAGTCTATGATGGAAACTTATAGGAGATAAGGTTGGAGATTTATTTGTGAGAACCYGCTGGGCTCTGGGGTATGTACAAAGAGGAGGTGACATTTCTCCTTGTTCTGTCAGGCAGGCTGTGGGTGGAGGTCCCAGGGACAGTGGTTTTAGCTGGACAAAACCTAGACAAGAGCTCCATTTCCTGTGGTCACTGAAATTGTCTCATTCTCTAGGTCTTGTTGGTCCTAAGGGTGACACTGGTGAAATTGGAGTGACTGGGGCTGAAGGTCCCCGAGGCTTTCCAGGAATCCCAGGCAGGAAAGGAGAACCTGGAGAAGGTGCTTACGTATACCGGTCAGCATTCAGTGTGGGACTGGAAACCAAGGACACCATCCCCAATGTTCCCATTCGTTTTACCAAGATCTTCTACAATCAGCAAAACCACTATGATGGCACCACTGGCAAATTCCACTGCAACATTCCTGGGCTGTACTACTTCTCCTACCATATCACRGTCTACCTGAAGGATGTGAAGGTCAGCCTCTTCAAGAAGGACAAAGCTACGCTCTTCACCTATGACCAGTACCAGGACAAGAATGTGGACCAGGCCTCTGGCTCTGTGCTCCTTCATCTGGAGGTGGGCGATCAAGTCTGGCTTCAGGTGTATGGGGATGGAGAACATAATGGAGTCTATGCTGACAATGTTAATGACTCTACCTTCACAGGATTTCTTCTCTACCATGACACCAACTGATCACTACTCACTCTGAGCCTCCACCAGACCCAACAGTCAAAAAGTCAATTAAAGAACCGTCAACATCTTTCAGCATAGCAAAGAGATTGATTTTATTGTTCAGTATGAGAATTTTAAACATTATTGGTCCATTTACTCATTAGTTAATTAATTAGGATAGGATTTGGTTATGTGGAGARAATGAGGTGGAATTAATTTTCACAAAAGTCATGTACTGTTGTTTCTAGTCTTGAAGATGATATGATTCCTGGCCTCCAGGATCTCTTATGTAGTAGTAATAATAGAATAATAATAACAAGTACTGAGGGAGTATCACCCTGTAATGACTGCCAAGAAGTAGGTGACAATGCTATTTTGTGCCCACTGTGTCTCCTGACATTCATGCCAATCCTATAAAGTATACAGGAAAGACACTAATCTCCTCTTTTTACAGTTGGGGTCCTGAGGTTGAGAATTAAGTGGCAGAGTTAAAAATCAAACCCAGAGCCTTGGACTTTTCTTACCAGACTGTTTTCCCTTGTAGAAGAACATGGCCTCTTTGGAGTGTTGGTATGGGTCTGTTTCCCACCTCACCTAAGGATCTCTGAATTCCTCTTCATCAGGTCAAATCTACTCCCAGCAGAGCTCCCTCAGAGAAGGTGGTTGGTTCTATGGTAGGTCCCATCCCAGCGGGACCACACAATGGCTTCTGAACTGCTCTGTACTTGTTCTTCTCTGTCTCTCCTCATGCTCTTCTTTCCACCTAAGAAAACTGCTTCCATCTCCAAATGTTGAATTCTTCCCTGTTCCTCAAGTCCACCTGGATAGGAGCTTCTCTAATGTGACCTCTGTTTCTTGCAAACTTTCCTTGCACACAGTRCTTTCTGTGTCCCTCTGTTTTACTATCAATGAGTGTCCTGGATGTGGGAGGCATCGTCACTCAAACTAGGGGCAACTGCCTGGTRAGGGCTTCCTTCACCCATGAATCCCTTGCAGGTCCTTGATAAATGCCTGATGAAGACTGATCTCTTGAATCTCATATGTACCCAGAATTAATTCCACCTYATTCTCTTCATATAACCAAAGCTTCATCATCTGTAGAAATATCTTTAATTTAGGAATTCCCTGGTTTTAAGYACCAAATCCTTACTCAAATAGATAGCTTAAACCTTTCCCATCAGAGAAAGGGTGATTATACTTTACAGAACTTAAAGAWTTCTCCTTCAAAAAGATAACTTGARCCTGAAATGCAAAATGCAGGGAGGAATTTGGAAACCATTCTTTCTATGGATACTGTCAAGGCTGGGGATGACTTGGGCCTCCTGAATTTATTCTTTTTATTTTTTATTTTATTTTTTAAGAAATACAGGTGGTTGATGGTGGTTTTAGGAAAAGTAATYATAGCGTGTGTATTAATATAGGAATGGAAAACCCATTTTTGCCTACAGTTTTAAGTTCTGGATGATTCCCTTTTATATGTATGTTGTTTTTCATTAAGTGGTTATTTTGAAAAAAATAAGACAAAAAATAAGACAAAGCTTTGTTTTTTAAAGTACTTGCATATCATTATTTTCTACAAATAAAATTGTTATCTAACATTAAAAGTAAAAGCACTTGCTGCATGTGAAGTGTGTTTTTATTTCTGGAGGAAGGAATGTGGTTTAAAAAGGGATGAACTTTGGGTTAGTTAGGACACAATATTGTGAATAACAGAAAACCCAAACCCAAACTAACACAAGGAAAATTAAAAAAAAAAAAAGTTTTTCTTTTTTGGATAGAAAATACCAKAGCTATCCTGTTTTAGATAAGGAAGCAATTGTCCCTTTTTTATCTGTTCTTTCTCTGTACCTTCTATAGTGAGGCTTCACTCTCAGGAGCTGCAGAGTATAGTTTGAGGCTCTGCCTCACACGTCAAGAAGGAATTAGCAGGGTTGAGGATGTAGACCAGTAGTAGTGTGCTTGACTAGCATGCTCAAGGCCTTGGGTTTAATCCCCAATACTGCTAAAAATGCACAACCAAACCCCMAAACCATAGCCTGCCCAGTTCTTGTAGCTTCACATCACACCATTCAGCCAAATGGATAGTGTCATTTCTGGTGGTTCCCAAAGAGAAGAGAACACTCTTTTCCAAAAGTCTCAGCAAGTATGTACTTGTATCTCATCAGCTCTGRCCAGGTTTGTGGGCCCATCTCTGACTAATCACCAGAGTCAGGAGCACTGACTAYGCTCAATGACAAGTTTAATTATGGCTCAGGAAAGGGGTATTTAGACATATTTTCCCTAAAGCAAAATCTGGACACTATTACCACAAGTGGGAGAATGGATGRTGGATATAAATCAATGCCTGTCCACACAAACTATTAATGTTATATTTGAATTTTCTTTGGCTTCTTAGAGAGATATTGAAGGCAAATTACTGTCAGTTTTCTCTAAAATTTCAACAAATAGCTAATGTCTAATCATGCTTATAGTCCCATATCTGGCTAGGGTGAGACCCTCACAGAACTAGACGTGGTACTATGCTCACACGAAGTTCTCTGGGGYACAGTCCTTTCCTTTAGGAAGCAGAAGCACAGAGAAGATCAATCTATAAAACACCTCCAGAGAGAAACTGTGACRGTGATTTTAGGATTGATGCTCTTGTGGTGTTTTTAAGTATAATTGTATATTTATCTATTTCTCTTCAGTTCTGACAGCCTTTGCTTGATGTTTTTAGGAGCTCTGTTGTTAGGTACATACATATTTAGTCTTATGTCTTTTTGGTGAATTTAGTCTTTTATCACTATATAGATCTTCATCTATGATAATTTTACCTGTTCTGAAGTCTAAAATCACCATAGGAACTCAATTCTCTCTCTTTTTTAATATTTATTTTTCAGTTTTCGGTGGACACAACATCTTTATTTTTATGTGGTGCTGAGGATCAAACCCAGCGCCCCACTCATGCCAGGCGAGTGCGTTACCACTTGAGCCACATCCCCAGCCCCTCAATTCTCATTTGATTAGTATTTGGATATCATAACTTATTCCATCATGTTACTTTATTTATTTATTTTTAAATATTTATTTTTTAGTTTTAGGTGGACACAACATTTTTATTTTATTTTATTTATTTTTTATGTGATGCTGAGGATYRAATCCAGTGCYTCACGCATGCCAGGCACTTGAGCCACATCCCTAGTCCATGTTACTTTAAATATATTTGTATCATTAGATTCAAAATGTGTTTCTTTTAGATTGTGTATAATTGGGTCTTTTTAAAAAAATTAAACATGAAAATCACTTTCTTTTAATTGGCATTTAGAAAATTTATGTTTAATAAAATTGTGGTCATGRTTGGATTTAAGGGGATCATTTATTTGTTTTCTGTTTGGCACTTTTAATTATTCTTCTTAACCACTTTAGATTATTTGAATATTTCATAGTATTTAATCTTTATTAATTAATTAGCTTTTTGGCTACGACTCCGGTGCTTTTTAGTGGTTTCTCTAGAAATCGTAATGTACACTTTTTACAGTACATGTAGAGTTAATATTTTACCACTTTGAGCAAGCTATAGAAATCTTATAACTATATAGTTTCCTTTATCCTTTTTCCTTTATGTTATAGCTGCTATATATATATTACAGCTATATGGTCACATATATTTTAAATAAAGGGAAAAACACTTAATTCAGATATTTATTATCTCTTTTGTCTTTTATATATACTGTAAGTTCCATATTTCCCTCTGAGGTAGTTTTTCCTTAACCTGAAGAATTTTATTTAGCATTAGAGCAAGTCTATTGGTGATGAATTCCCTCAGAATTCCTTCATTTGAGAATGCCTTTATTTTGTTTGAATACACTAAGGATATTTTCTCTGGATATAGAATTCTTATTGACAATACTTCCATTCCAGCACTTTAGTTTACTTTATTGTTTTCTTCCAATACTTTAAAGATGTTATCTCACTATCTTTCATGGTTTTATGAGAAACCTGTGGTAATAGTTGCCCTTATATGTAATTTAYCATTTTTTCTTCTTGCTGCTTTTAAGGTGTTTTCTTTACCTTTGGTTTTCAACAGTTTGATTATGTTGTGTTTACATGTTTTCTTTGATTTTAACCTATTTGGGGTACATTGAACTTCTTGAATCTGTAAATATATGTCTCTTAACAAATTGAAACATTTTCTGCCATTGTTTTTTCAAATATATTTTCTGAGTCTTCTTTCTGGAATTTCAATGACATGAATGTTAGATCAATAGGTCTCTAAGGCTTTTTTTTTTTTTTTTACTTTTTTCTAGTCTTTCCTTTTCAGTTCTTTTTATTACATAATTTCTATTGATGTAGTTTTAACAGACTTCCCTCTTATCGATACTCTGCTATTGAGCTCATCTAGCAAATGGTTCATTTCAGATATTGTTATCTCTCAGTTTAAAAATTTTCATTTGGTTGCAAGTGTATATTGTATGTTCTTTTGAGAACACTGATACTTCCATTTATTTCAAGAATGTGCATCTAGGGGCTGGGATTGTGGCTCAGTGGTAGAACGCTCGCCTAGCACTGGTGGGACCCAGGTTCGATCCTCAGCACTACATAAAAATAAAGGCATTGTGTTGTGTCCATCTACACCTAAATAAATAAATAAATATTTTTTTTTTAAAAAAAAGAATGTTTATCTTTACCTCATGGCTATAATAGGTATTTTTAAAGACTATCTGGCTATAATAGGTATTCAAAAGACTAGTTCTAACTTGGGTCATATCAGAGTTGGCATCCTTAACATTGGTAATAGGTTTCTTCTGCATTGAGGAATTTTGGATGGTATCCTGAATATTTTGAATATTGTGATGTAAGACTCTAGGTTCTCTTAAAATTTTCTGGTGAAAGTTGATTTATTGTATTATATTTTATTTTTGAGTATGTGAAAGTAGACAAGTGATTCAGGTTCAGACTTAAGTTATGTTTCGCCTTCCACAGGTGGGTATTCCAAAGTCAGTCCAGTTTTTGAGCCTCTGCTATGCTGTTTGGGTCTATATGTCCCATGCACCTCTCAGAGTTTAGTCTGAGACTTATAATCTCAGCTTCATTGTGTCTGTTCCACATGTGTGCAACAGAGAATTGAGACTGGGACTTGTGAAGGTTCCTATGCAAAATTAGAAGATATCATTTTCCAACTTTCTCCTCTGGCATTTCCCTATGGTCTCCATTCCCCGGTGACCCTCCCTTTCCTGGTTCTTCCGGCCAGGAAACTGGGATTCTTTTAGAATTTTACTCCCTGTGACTAAGGGTCCTGCATGATTGTGCTGTTCTGTGTGACTGGGGATGTTTGAGGGGTAAAGCACTGAAAGTAAAAGATGTAACAGAAACTGTCTTGTGTTCTTTGAATAGCATGACCCCATTTACTGATTTTTCTGGCCAGGGACAAATGGATTTTCTTTGGGAGTTTTAGATAAGATGTAAATGCTCTTCCTATGACAATATTACCCATTGGCTAGGGCTGGCTTCAGGGCACGTCTGGAAGAGAAGACTGAAGAAAACATGTTAGGAAAATCAGGAATTTCTCTTACTCTTTTTGTCACCTTTCCTGGTCTTCCAGTTGAGCAAGAGGTGATATCCCCTGGAGTTTTTCCTGACAGTGCCTACTACATAATTCCAGAACTTGGCCTGCCCTTCAGGTTAAATCCAGGAGATAAAGAAGACATAAACACTCCAYGAAAAATCTCCCTGTGACTATGGGTTATTATTCAAGTATTGACTTTAGTCCTGCATCTGCCTGCTGTTGTTACTTTTCAGTATCCTTAGGTATTTCTTTTTCTTTTTCTCAACAATGTTAGTTATAATCAGTGGGAAAGATTGTAGCTGGCTAACTTTAGCTTGACTAGTATTGGACATCCCACATCCCAGGATAGTCTTGAAGAAAGAAAAAGAAAAGGAATTGAAGGATGGCAGGCGCCCCAGGAATCAAATAATTTACCTTGAACTTAATGGATGTCAAAGAAAATAAATCCAATCTTGAGATAGACCATTGTCAAAAACATGGAAGGTACCAAAAATTCTATGACCAAGGAAAATGGGGCCAAATAAGGTCTTATTTATTTATTTATTTATTTATTTATTTAATTGGTTGTTCACAACATTACAAAGCTCTTGACATATCATATTTCATACATTAGATTGAAGTGGGTTATGAACTCCCAATTTTACCCCA